GGGTACCGTCGGCCAGACAGTGCCGGCTGGCGACCCCAAGGGGGAGGGCCTTCTCTGTGGGAGCTCCCACCCTCTGGAATGAACTACCCCCAGAGATCAGGGTGATCCCTGATCTCCCTTCCTTCCGCCGCGCCCTTAAGACATGGTTATTCCAGCTTGCGGGACTGGCCTAGGGGAAAATTTTTAGAGGGGGTTTTAATTATAATTTTAATTAGACCAATTATTAATATTTGCCTTTTAATTAACTTTTAAATTTGTAGTCTGATGTTTTGTATTTTTTATCCGGTTGTTAGCCGCCCTGAGTCCGCAAGGAGAAGGGCGGGATATAAATTTAAAAAATAAATAAATAAATAAATAAATCTAGATTTTTCCTTCAAAAGAAGAAGGTGAAGTTAAAGTATTTTTAAGGTGTTAAATATAACTTTTTAGTTCACCTGGCAATTGTGTATGAAAGGATCACTTCACTAGATAATTGTATCCCAGATAACACCCTTTTTTGACCTATTTAAAGAAAGAACTTTGGATCCCGTAAGTCAGATCTCTCATTATTATTTTTTTAGTTACTGCTAAGCATAACAGGAAACACTAATGGATTTCTCCACTCATCCTGAGCACTGTAAAATACTATCTTAGGAATGACAGAACAGAATGCATTTTGCAAAATTATTCTGGAAAGTCTTAGAAATTCAATGTATTTCATTTAAATGAATTTAAAGAGATCTGATAAATGAAACTCCTTTAGAAAAAACATTGACCCGTCAACCTTGCAAACTTTACTCTGCAACTCAAATAATTAAATTTTGTTGTTCTTTTCATAGTAACTAAAAAGTTTAAAATAATTTTGAAATATCGAGGGGATTATCACTGTAACTCTATTGACTGCATTCTATTTTAACATTAATATTAATAATAAAATAATATTTCGTATTATATAATACACTCAATTGTACCATTTTTCTCCCTGGCTTAAAAATATAGTGAACAAAAGTTTTGCCATACAAGGAACGCAGGATTTCAAACAAATTCTTTAAATTTGCTTTAAATATTGAAAATCTGCATTATCAAGTTGAAGAGGATTAACTATGACAACCAGCTTTGAAATTATTACCAGATGTGCCCAAGAGAAGCTATTCCTTACTGATAACAATAAAGCAAGAATAAAAGAATTGGCAGGCTTGCAGAAAATGAAAAATGAATAAGGCCCAGGGAGTGAAAAAGATAGTCAAACTATACCAGAAGCCAAAGATTTGTGGCTGAATCTCCATTTTTTTATGTTCCAACTGCATTTCACTGAGCGTTTCACCGTTATTTGGCCTGTTGGATAAAACTTGCATGCCTTTGTAATACTGAGGTTAGAAAGTGTGACTAGGGAAAGTCAGTTTCAGTTCACTTGGGACTTGACAGATTGGATAGTCATCCAATCATGGAAGTTGTTTCTAAGAAAAAAAGAGTGGTGAAGAATATATATCCTACCAGAGATCCTCAAAGAAAGGGAAAGGAGAAGAAGCAGGGCAAGGCAGGGCTAGGCTAGCATCCACTTTGGAAAATGAAGCCATATTTAGGCCAATCTTAAAAAGCTGGAGAGGAGAATGGGTCCACATCAAAACAGTTTCAACAGGAACTACGTCGAACAATGGCACAATGCAGGGTTGGTTTGCTACATTGAAACTTTTTATGGTACAATCATTTGAAAGGGATACAATTTATTTATTGTATACATTTTGTCACTAAAATGGATGAAAAACCTAACAACTTCTTTTTGAACCACAGAGTCGTGGGCTAGGGGAATAATCTTGAGGAACAAGAACAGTCACAACCAAGACAAGCTCAGATAAGAGAAATCAGAGCCTAAAGCAGAAATGTAGTTTGAGAAAAGTATGTTCTAAATTGTTAGCAAAATAAACCCTCTGAATCTTAAAGTAAGAATTATTGTTTTGTGTTGCTATCTTGTGTTTCTTTCATTGGGCTTTTTCCACGACAAAAGCATGTCAGGTTTAACCTTCCCTAGTATTCTTGAACATAAAAGCAGAGGGGAGGGGAGTACATTCAGACTTGTAAGATTCCCTTACCGTAACTTTATAATAAAGTAGCATTAGAACTCATAACCCTACCTTGAAGGGCTGACACATAGTATGATTAGCCAATAACGAATGGACTTACTTTTGCAGCAATTTTAAGAGAGACATCTTGAATTGCAACTAAAGGTGGATATAAACGGCCTTCATCTAAATGCTTCTTTGATACCTGTTGACATATAACCTAGGAAGAAAAAGTACATATCTATTAGATGCATGTTTTGCTATTACCTTTATTTAAAGACGAAAAACTTGCTTTCAATAAAAAAAACCCCAGAAATGAACATATATGGGAATTTTAAATGACAGGAGCTTCGCCTCTGATACCTGCCGGTTTGCCTATTTTTTTCTAATTCAATGCCCTGATCCTTTATTTTATTATTTTATTTTATTTTTTCTATTTTATTTATTATTTTACAACTGCTTCTGCATTTCTTTGGTAACAACACCCAGAATGTACTAGCATACATCATGGAAATGACTCGGAAGACCAATTATCCGAAGACTATCTTAAAGGATTTTATTCATCTTTCCTTTCATACGGGTGTTATAGGAATCCAAAATTAAATGTAGGGCAAAGGAAGCAGAATTCAAGGAACTTAAGCTCTTTTTGCACCTCAAAAATCCCTCTTTTTTATCAGCTGCATAAAATCATCGGACCTAACAAATAATTTCAGGCATATAGAAAAAGCTAAAAAAGAGAGACATTCTTGACTTTAAAAACAAACTCTCCAGTTTAAGCTTGACTCCTGGTGGCTTTAAGGTCATGTCTCTGCAATATTCTTGGCATTATACAGAAGTAATTTGCCGTTGCTTTCTTCTAGGATGTTGTTGTATCAGTTTAATCCAGGATTCTCCAAAGTTGGCCACTTTAAGACATGTGGCCTTTAAGAAATTTGGAGAGTCCTGGTTTAGTCTTGTCTCCCATCCCAGTAATAAATGGCCCAACTCTACCAGCTTCC